ACCCACATACAATATCACGTTTGGCAAAATAGAACTTTTGATTTTTTTTATATATTCTCTACAACTCTTCAACAGATATTGGTAGTGTCAGTTTTCCAGAGGTTGTGACAGGCAGTGAACAAAATGAACATGTCGCTGTGTTCGTGATATGTACAAGTGATGTAAAAATGCTAAGGTAAATGAAACAAGAAATAGGTATAGGTTGTAATGATAGCATTTGGTATTCTAGGTAACACAGTAAAGGAAGACCTCTTTGATTTGAAGAACAGCCTGGCACATAGAAAATTAAATGAACAAATAAAAGCTGAGTAGCTGTCTTAAAAAAGAGGGTTTTCAGGCAGAAAAAATGGCAGATACCAAAGGTGTGGAGCATAAAGGCTCATTGGACAAGGGTTACAAAGTGATTGTAAAAATCAGGATGGGAGACAATGCAAATTGGATTGTGCTTGTAAGGGTAAAAATTTACGCACTGTAAAATTCATAGATCTTAAGTACCGAACTGACACATAAAATATTTCCACCACAAAAAGTCTCCTGTGACTCCTTCCAATCATTTCAGCCACCCAATAGGGGACAATTTTTGAGATTTTATCACCAGAGTTTCCTTCTGTCTGTCTGGAACCTTAAATGAATGAAATCTTACAATATGTATTGTTTTGTGTATGATTTTTTTTTGATAAATCTGTGTGTTAGGATATTCACTCTTTTGTATTTCTGCTTATTACTCCATTACATGAATGTACTAGTGAGTATCAGGAATATTAAGTTATTCTCAGTTTTCAAATACTGTAAATTTACATCCATAAGTATTTACATATATCTTTTTGTGGACATGTTTCCCATTTTTCTTGCGGAATTCTTAGGATTGAGATTTTATGGTTAAACAACAGATTATTTATAACCATCTAGGTACTGCCAAGTCAATTTGGCCAAAATGATGTGATTTTATATACCCACTATATTGTATAAAATGCCAGTTCCATATTGTTGTCATTGTCTTTTAGTTTTAGATGCCACAGCAAGGGCCAAGCAAGATTTTTTTGTAGGCCTAATTTGTATTTTCCTGACAGGTACAGATGTCAGGCAGGCAGGCAGGCACCTAGGCATCTCCCTGGCCCCACAGATAGTGTTTTGACCAGTCTTTTTGGTATCTAATGCCAGATGAACCACTCCCACCTTCTATGGATTTTTTTTCGGAGCTTGATTATTATCTAGGTAGGTCTGATTTAAAGCAGTTCAGGATGACTGGTACAATTTACAGTCACTTGAAAACTACCAAAACAATGTGATTTTTTTTTTTTTCTTGAAGAGGGCATAGACTTGCTATTTGATGTCTGCACTATAATTCTTGGATGAGTATTTCCATAAATTTAATGGCATCTTTATGTGTCACTGCTATTTTCAGTATTGTAGGATACATCAGACGATATGGCCCACTAGCTGCCGGATCTGCAGCAAAGCTCTGTGTATCTCTCTGGAACCTACTCAAAGCAACAGCACTTCATGTCTCAGAGTAGGTTGGAGCATTAATCTTAATTTTGGTATATACTTCCTCTATGATCCAAATGCTGTTTTAAACATTTTGCTTTGTTATGTGAAATGCACGAGTAAGAAGCCATTTAGAAGAAATGTTTCAGAATGACTTCTGACCCTGCACTTTAAGATTATACTGACACTTTGTTCTCTGAATTTTCTTGGAGATTATCTTTCCCCTCTGAAGCTTTTAGGAGTTATCAAGTCACTTTTGGTTCATCTGTGCAGTTAAAATGTTGACACAGTGGGCAAATGTGATAGTACAGAGAATGTCCACGTAGTTTTTCTTCCCAAAGATTGCTAACATAGGATCTAGGGAAAAGTATTTATGGCTGTTTAGAAGCAGAGCTAGAAGCACTGCATTCAGACTGACAAGTGCTTTAAGAAGGCATTAAACCCCTTTGTTCTTGATACACTCTCTCCTAAATGATAAACTTCTGTTGTGTATCATTGATCATGCTCATTCCGAATCCATTACCATACATACTGGTATGGTAACACCATACCATTTGGTATAGCTGTCAGCTCCTGCTGGGATGTACTGATTACAGAGTCTAGAGTTGCTTCGTACTATAGTCCCTTTCCTTCTTTATCATGCCCAGCATACCTATGGACAGGTTCTGGGGCTAATCAATCCTATCCATGCGTAGGGAAATCTAATGGCATCTTTATGTATCACTGCTGTTTTCAGTACCATAGGATACTGACGGTTGAGAAGGCAGGTGAAGATTCTGAGCGGGGTAACGTCTTTCTGGGGAAAATAAACATGTTTACCGTTGTCAAGGAAATGCTAGTCAGTAAGACCAAAGCAGGTTCCATTTCTCAACCAACATCCAGATCATGGAGGAGAAAATGTGTTTTTTGAGTTTAACCTTCTTTAGAAATCTGTTATGCTTATTAGTATATCCTAGTTCTTCATTTTATCTTCCCACTGAAAAAGTGACTCTTTTGATGCTGCCAAAAAGAGTCTTTTAGCTTTCACACTTAGCTTTCAGGTGTCAACTGTCTTTTCATCACCTACAATGTCAACTGAATTCTCTTATTTCCCTCCCTCCATTTCTCCCTTCCTTCTAGTCCCCCACTTGCTTTCTCTTTGTCCTTGTTTTTCACCTTGTGGTACTTGAGACTGAAATTAAGTGCTTTCACCCTGAGATATATTTCCCAATGCTTTTTATTTTGAGACAGGCTCACTAAGTCCCTAAATCGCACAGGCTTGGCTCAAATTTTTGGTCTTCCTGCCTTAGCCTCCAAAAGTACTGGGATAATATCATTATCAAGCCTGACTACTTTCTTTTTATAATTTGTATTTCTCCCATATTTGCTGTGTTGGATACAGCTGCATCATCCCTTTCCACTAGTATACAATTTACTGTTGGTGAAATTGTTAACAATCACTGGACTGTTTGTGTACTACAGGTATAACTGGTAGTGAAGTATTCTTTATCATCCTCACAGGGTGTGATCCCACTCTGAAATCCCATCCCTTTGACTTTTGGGGATTATTCTTGGCACCAAAGGTCACAGGTTTGTTTTCCTGGCAAGCAGATTCTGAGACAAGAATTAGCATGTGGAAGATTTCCTAAATATGAGTCCTTCTTCTGGTGTGAAAGAGAAGTAGGACATAAAGAAATGCTTTATCGTTTGTCTGTGGCCAGACCTCCACAAAAAGGATTAAACAAATGTACTCATATACCTCCCTAGGGATGGATATCAGTGATTGATATCCTAAATAGGTATCAATTACTTTCAAAAACCCAAGAAGAGTCACTAACCCAACCCCCTAGAGGAAAAGCCCCTGTTCTATATTCTTATCTGCTTGCTATGTGACATGCTTCCCCATTTGACCCTGATTTTATCAATTTTACTTAAACCTTATGCCCAGATTGTGAGTTTGTTTCCCACTTTAGTCCTACCTCATGGTTTTTCTCTAACAATTCCTAGAAAAAACAGGTTCCTTAGCAATCTGCTGGGGTTCCCTCACGTCTGTCTCTTGGACATAAGCTTTCTTTCTTCCAATATGAACGTATGTATGTACTGGAGGCCCTTATCCTCCAGTGTTTGTTTGTTGTTTTTTGGTTGGTATAGGGACTCACTATGCAGCTTGGACTCTTAGTGATCCTCCTGTTTTCAGCGTCCCCAGCACTGGGATTATAGGTGTGCGCCACCACACCAGGTCTTGGTGACATGCTCAGCACAACCAGGGCAGGGTCGGCACAGGCTGTGATGCTGGGGATTCAATGGTCCCTGCACTTGCCTAAGCAGGCGCTTAGTCCTCTTAACCTCCATTATTACCAAAATTCATTATTGGTTTTAGAGAACATCAACTTATCCCAGGTATCTTTCAGGCTGGGAGTTTCCTTCCCTTGTACAAGCTATTCAAGCAGAGCTGAGAAGGCAATTGAGTCTGAAGCTCAGAGCTGAGTTACAGGGTATCGGTGTGAAAGGCACATTGATGGTATTTAAGGCCTCGGGTCCCAAGAGAACAGGCCTGAGGACTGAGTCCTGCTGTGTATTTACAGGTTCAGGGAATGAGGAAAACATGTAGAGTATGAAAAGGACACAGAAAGAGAAACATGAGGGGCTGGAGAGATAGCTCAGCAGAACAAGTGCTTCCCTGGCAAGTGCAAGGGCCTGAGTTCAATCCCTGAGAGAGTAACATCCAAAAGATGAGGTGGAGATCATGTTCAGAATAAAAGAGGTGATCAGTTCATCAGGTGTACACTAGAAAGAGTAAGACACAGGTCTCTGTTTTGCTAAGCTACTGAGATTTTTGGCTTTGCTTCTGCAATATCTTAACGTAGCAATCACTACTTCATAATCTAACTTCTTGCACTGCTTAGAATTTGAATTCTGAAAGTACTGAAGTTTTTTTTATTACTTTATTAAATATTTTAAAAAGTATTTATTAAATGTTTATTAGTTTTTTTGTAAAAATAAAATGCTATAAAGTTGAAATTATCTTTGTTTTCTTTTTATAAATAGAAACTACTATCATGAATTTGGTATGAATCTTTAATTAGCAAACTCAGGAGAGTCCTCTATGAGGTCATGTTGAGCATTTTATCCATCTAAATGATTTTACTAATCAAGATAGCTTTATTGTACTTATTATTAGAATATCTTATGTACTGATTCCTCCCTAAAACATTTACAAAAGTTACTCCAATTATTACTCTAACAGACTCTGAAGACGTGCAATTTATAAGTAAAATGAATACTAATGTTCCTTTTCTAGTAATACAGTGACACATTGCTGGAGACACTGTTGGCCCTCAATAAATGTGAATGTGCCCATCAAATACCTAGTTTATTAATGCAGCGTTAATAAAGAGACTGTACAAATAGGCAGGCAAAGGTCTGTCTCAAGTAGCATAGTTGGAGGTCAAAGACATGTAAAAAAAACCCATATATATATATGGAAGTATGTTAATTCAGGGCCACTATAGAAGACTGTGGAGAAGCAAAAGGTAGTTGCTGAGTTCTGAAGCCCAGGCTAATCTCTAATCTCCAACCTGTTATGTTTCAGAAGGCTCCAGTGGGGTGAATAGAACATTTTTATAATTGGTCTACCCCGATTAGGTTCTCCTTTGTAATCAGTCAGTCTATAGGAGGTAACTTTTCTTTTATTAGTACAAACTAAGATAGTTAGATATTATTGGAATGGAGTAACATTTGCAAAACTATCAGTCTGGATTTGAGAGATTCAAGCAAGTTATAAATGATCTCTCTCAAAGGTTGTTGAAAATCAAGGTATTTCCGGTACCTTGGGTACAACTGAGACCAAAAGATGGTTCTGGCATTATTTTTAAGGCAATGTTGTTAACCGTCCCCCAACCCTTTATCTCAAAATACTTTCAACTGTCTTGACTGGAGGAGTTGGTCATTGGACATTTGGTGAGGACAGAGATCAGCGATTGTCGCGCACGACGTCGCCAGCAAGGACAACGCAACACACAGCTCTTCCTTCAGCGGTTTATTCAGGCTCCTAACAGTAAGTTTGTTCTGCTCTCTCTCTCTCTTTTCCCTCGAGCCCTCGGCCTATATATGATCCCGAGCCCAATCCCAGTGCGCCACGTGGGGATCGCCCATGGGTCCAGCCTATGCGAAGCAAATCATGACAGCAGCCCTGGCCATATAAGGAGTTGTTGTGCACAGAGAGCGCTCACCCACGGGGAGGGGGGTGGGGTGGGTGGTGGAAGGCGGAAACCAGCGCCATCCTGTAGGCGCGGTCCTTCGGTCCTTCGCAGCTCTCCACAAGCGATGAGCTTTAGCATCCTATAAATGTACCCAACGCCCCTTCAAAGAACTATCAATTCGAAAAGTCAACAATGCAAGTTGAGAAACTCTGTTTTCAAAGTTACTTTATAGTCTAACTTTATATATTTACACTCATTAGTTTTTTCTAGCATCTGGTGTTAAGAAAATCTTGTTCAAGTCTATTTTCTAACCCAGTTAGATTGAGTCATATAGTAATGTGTATAGGATTGTTTTGTTTTGTAGTATCACTTACGTTCACTCAAAACCATGTATTTTCTGATTGAATAAACGTCCAGGTCTTCTACACTTGAACCTTTTTTTTATATATATATTTTGCATTTTCTTCTCCAAGTGCTCCCGGAAATTTGACTGAAAGCTAGAATACATTCTCAGGCGCTTTCCTGGGGATCCCGGATCCCGGGGGCCAATTAGGTGTTTTGAGGCTGGCGGGTCCCGCGGCTTACAGGCTCCGCTCTTCCGGGTACCTGTCCGTCGGTCCGCGCGGGGCGGACTGGGGCGCCGCTGCTGGACTAGAGGAGGCCCGCAGGGCTCCAGCGGCCAACAGGTCCCCGGCCCAGCTCTTCCCCCCAGCACCCCCGGAACTCCCTGAAGGCGGGGTGGGAGCACCGGGAGGGCGGGGCGGGGCAGGAGGCCCCGGGCAAGGGCCGGGCGCTGGGCTGGCCGTCCGGAGGCTGCGCGGCGAGCTCGACCC